TCACTGAGATCTGAACCCAGAACTTTGTGTGCTAGTCAAGAGCTATGCACAGAGATACATTTTTAACATTCCCTCTTTTGTGGTATTGGGAAACAAACCCAGAGTTTCCCATTGAGCTATATTCCCAATCTTTTATTTAATTTTTAATTTTGAGACAGGGTCTTGCTAAATCACTAAAACCACATTGCTTGGGCCAGGTCCAAACTTCCAGTCCTTTTGCTTCAGTTTCCTGGAGTGCTGAAATATTCAGCAACCATGTTGGTTTCCCTTAGGTTTGGAGAAAAATGAAATGATCCACACTATGACCACTACTTTGAAAATTAGTACTTTTCTCTTTTCCATTCCAAAAATACCAAATGAATGTGACATATAACTCTGTGAGTGTTGTGCCACAAATTGCTGAGACCATTTCTAGCTAGTTTAAAAGAAGATAACTTACTAAATGGCGTAACTTACTAAAAAGCTTACTAAGTCTATAAAGTTGTTCACAGATGCAGTGTGGCACCTGTGCTGCTGGCAACGACACCTAAGCTACATGGCGGCTCTGCCCCAGCAGGGCTACCACTATTGGGCAACGATACTGCTGCTTTTCCTACTAACCCCACCAATGCGAGTCATGGGTGTTACTGCAGGAATCTCTGCAGTCAACCTGCATTCCACCTCCCTACCAGAGTGACTCTTCATAGCGCTGTGCTCCTCCTCCTTTCCCTCCTCCTCCTCCGTCATGCTTTCTTCATTTCATCAGTCTCCCTTTCAAAGACTTTGTTCTAGTTGCACTGAGAGTCTAGAAAGTTTCTGTTTTCTTTAGTGGGAAGTGTGGGCTTACAAGGACAGAATTGCCTTTGATTATGTTTAAAGATGCTGGATAAATATAAAGAATGATAAGTATCTTCAAAGTTCAGAAAGGAAGAATAATAAGTTCTTACTTTCAGATGTTTATCATTTATATAAAAACCTCTCCAGATTCAATATTACAACTTAAAAGAGTTTAGCAGGACAGCCAGACATATTATCTATGTATAAGAATATTGGATTCTGACCAATAATATTCAATTAGAAATATTAATATAAATTAATATTAGAAACAGATTTTAATAAAAGAAAACCCATATAATATCCAAAAATTAAGCTAATAAAGAAAATAAAAAGTTACAGAAAAGACAATATGACTGTAATACCATAATAAAGAAAGTATCACGTTATCAGATGGGCTGATTTAAGATTTTAATAATTTAATTTCTCACCAATTAATCTGTAAATGCAGTGTAATTCTACTAAAAATTCCAGAAGGATTTTGGGAAAGAAATCGACAAAGAGATTCTAAAATACATTTAATGGCTATCTAAAGGGAATTCTATCAGATCTGTAAGCCAAGGGAGCAGTGTAGAAAGTAAAAAAACAGATCTGTGTACACATGGGAATTTGTGGTACAGTAAAAACCTAACATTGCACATTGGCAAAGAAATAGATTGTTTAGTGAATGGTAATGGGAAAATCAGCCTGCTACAAGGAGAAAAAATACAACCAAATGCCAACTTCCTATACATAAAAAATAAACTTCAAATGCTTTTAAAAATCTGAAGATCAAATCTATAAAAGATGACTGAAACATATGGTGAATGTTTAAATAACAGTAAAAGACACCGCTATGGGTCTCTCAGAAATACACTTCCTCACTTTGAACACATCTGTCCTCCCATTTTTACCACTTTCTGAAGCAGTTCTGGAAGTTTTCTTTCCAAAATGTTTTTACAAGTTGTCATAAAATGTAAGGTGAGTGCTGCTGCCGAATGCCATCCAACTGAGCCTTTCAGAGCCGAATGCCATCCAACTGAGCCTTTCAGAGCCAGCCTGCTGAAAACACCATAGTGTGTACTCATCCCCTCATTCACAGGATCTGGCACTGTACAACTTCTGGTTCTCCTACATGACCAAAATACCCATGAGAGATGAACAGTTTGAATCTATTTGGGATATCCAGACAGCTACAACCATGCCACTAATGATGCGAAAGAAGTCTTCCAAGAGTGCTTCTGAGAGTGGCGGGAAGGCCTGGTACTGGAGGTGCATGTCTGTAATCACAGTATTCTGAGAGGCTCAGGTAGGGGGATTGCAAGTTTGAGGCTAGCCTGTGCAATTTAGTGTCTCAAAATAAAATTAAAAAGGGATAGGGGTATAATTTAGTGTGAAGGATCATGTGACAAAAAAAAAAAGAAAGAAAAAAGAAAAAAGGCAAGAAGAATGGGATAAGTGTGTTTGAAGCGGGAGTATTATGAGAAGAATTAGTGAGAATGTGTCTTTTACTTTTTTTTTTTTAAATTAAGTCTTAGTGTTTAATTACTGTGTATAACATAAAAAACCAGTGATGCAGTAATGCATTAACTATCAAATGACACTAAGGGAATTAGCTTACTATAAGATGATATAATCAAATCCCTGTCCTTTATTATATTACAAATAAATTCCAAAGTGTTAAAAATGTAGAGATTAAATATAAAAGCAAAGGAAGAAATATAAATTATTAGGAAAAGAAAAGAGTTTTTCTTTCTCTTCCTTTTTTGTCTTTTTGAGAGAGTCTCACTATGTAGCCCAGGCTGGCCTTGAACTCAGAGTGATCCTCTTACCTCAGCCTGCCAAATTCTGGGGTCACAGGCTTGCACCACCACACCTGGCTAGTTTCTTCTTGTTGACTTACTGATTCTTTCATTGGTATATGTTTGGAATACATGTAAATTACATTCCTTTGAAAGGATTTCATTAGTAAGTGTCACAGGATGGATTCTCTGGGAACAGACTCTAAGGTCAAGATTCACATGCAGGAAGTTTATTTGCTCTTGAACTCTGCACTGATAGAGGAAAACAGGCAGCAAGGTTGGGCAGAGGGAGAGGCCTCAGTGGATCCCAGGGAACCCCGGAACTGGGATAGCCCTTCCCAGATGCACTGAGTGGATGGAATTTTGAGTCTTGCATTGATCTGTCATGGGCTGCAGACTGCTCCCAGGAAAGGCGCCTGACCCTGGTCAAGCTGGTCAAGCTCAAAGTTCAAACTGCCAGTTGCTACCTCCTGGCTGTCACAACCAACGCTGCAGTGGATGTGGGTGTACAAATACCGTTGAGCTTCAGCTTTTAATTCTTTTGGATATATACCCAAATTGGGATTGCTGGACATATGACAATTTTATTTTTCATTTTTTAAGGCTGTTTTTCCATATAGCTGTACTATTTCACTTGCTTTCTTACAGTATATGAATTCTAATTCTGCCATATCCTTGGCCAACAATTTGTTATTTTTTAATCATCCTAATGGGTTTGAGGTAATATCTCATTGTAATTTTGCTTATATTTCTTTAATATAATTGTTTTTTACATTTATTTAATTATTTATTTTTGTGGAAGCAGGGATTGAACTCAGGCCCTTGCGCTTGTCAGGGAAGTGCTTATTCTACTGAGCCATCTCCCCAGCCCTTTATAATTGTTTTTTAAAGTAAATTTTATTATCTTATACATCTAAAAGCAATAAACTGTGTTCATTGTTGAAAACTGGGAAAATACAGGAAATCATAATGAAGGAAACAAGCATCTCTTGGAATCCTCGTAGGACCACCAGTGTTAACATTTTGGTCTGTGTTCATTCAGACTTTTTTCTGCCCTTAAGCACACATGGCTGAGGCTGGCCCGCATTTGCTTTTGGTATAAATCCAAAAGTATCTTGTTCACTGGGTGATTGCAACCCTGGGTCCCAATGTGCAGCTTGATAAGCAAAGCACAGCTAGTTCAGATCCTACTTACCTCTAGGGCAGGTGCTCTGAGCAATGTGTAAAACCACACTGTAGTTCTGAATATACTCAACAGTTTTATTTAACTTTTTATAACACTGAGACCACAGCCCGGCATGGTGGCTCACGCCTAGAATCCCAGAACTCCAGGAGGAGGCTGAGGCAGGAATTCAAAAGTTTGATGCCTGTTTGGGTGATTTAGCAAGTTAGGAGATCCTGCAAAATAAGAGGGGTTGGAAATGTAGCACAGTGCAAAGGCCCTAAATTCAATCCCCAGTACCACAGAAAACCAAAACAAATGAAAAGCACGACTGTACTAGTTGGTAGACTGTGTTTAGATAAATTTAATTAAACTTACTGGATACTTGTTTATAAATTTCTTTTTTTTTAAAACAAAAACAAATCATTTTAATAGACATGGTTTCCACTTCTGTTGATTCACCTTGATTTGTACTATGCCCATGCACCCGTGCAGTCTGGCCTCCTTTCTAGTTATTTATTTTCCAGCATCGAGCAGTCTTCAACAGCAGACAGTTCAGCTGAACTGTTTATTCTTAAGCAATGCAAGTACCACGTCCTCAAAGAGCTTTATCAACTTCAATATTTTCAAAGACCCCTTGGAGGCAGCTCAGCAGGGTGGCTCTTCCCTGAACTATCCTATTTGGAAGGTGGCAGAGAGGGTGTGCACCTCCTCAAGCTCACGTGTTGCTTGTATTCCTATCGCAGTTCAGGAGGTGATAAAGACTGAATAATAAACAGATCTCCAGCAAACAGCTCCACAAGACAGCTTATTTTTGGAAAGTCAACCAAATCATGCAAACCTTCCTAATGGAGTAATGTGTTCCAGGGTTCTTTTGATGTTTAAGAAGGGAAATCCTAATCCTGGTGCACCGGCTTTCCTGACAAGTACTCTTATTGATGGCATGACAGGGTTTTCTTCTCCAGCCAGCCTTCCATAGTGAAGTGATTTATTGCGCTCGAAGCAGAGTCGAAAGCATGAAGGTGTCTACTTTTGTAATCAGAGCTAGTGACAGCCTTCTCATTTCCTGCCAAATGGATCAGACCACACTTTTAACCCTGGTGACTGCACATCTTCTTGAACGATCCCAGCCCTATTTATAGCTTGTTCCTTTTGGTACTCCTCTAGCCTCATTAGGGGCCAGAAGTAGATGGGGTAGAAGGCGGCGCCGACCAAGGAGAAGAAACCGCGGAAAAGAAGCGTGGTGCGCAGGTTCCGGGACGTGGTGCTGGGCGGGGGTGAGAGCTGGCCTGACCCGCGAAGGGCACCGCGCGCGGAGATAAATTTCTGATGTTAAAAATCTTGTTGGTATAATCCTTGTATATAAATTGTTCTGCATATTTGAAATTAATTCCTTATGATAAATTCCCAGGAAATGCCTTGAAAATTAAATTTACTAAGTGCATATTTCGTGCCCTGGATTGTGCTAAGAAATCGTCAGATAGATAGATAGTGATATAGGTACTATCTTTTTTTTTTTGATACCAGGACTTGAACACATGACCTTGAGCTTGCCAGGCAGGTGCTGTGCCACTGAGCTGTATCCCCAACCCTATTATTTCTTCTTAGAAAGAAAGTTGAAGCACAACAATTGAAGTTACTTGATTGAAGTAACAAAGCTAGAAAGTGGCAGAGCTGGGATTTGAATACATGTTTGTTGGCTCTGTCTGCTGCAGAACCTGGGCTCCTAACATACTGGATTTATTAAATTTAAAGGATGAGACAGATGGGTAGAGAATAATTTTCAGAATAAAAAAACCTTGCATCATCAGTGGAGTACAGCCTGACCATTTGATAATTTTCATAGGCATCGGGAACATTCAAAAGCAATGAGTTTTTATGAATGTATTTGTTAGACTTTCTTGACAGGATGATTAATATTCCAACAGGATACACATTGTTCACTTCTGAGCTCTTTTTAAGAGGAGCAATTTTAGAAGATAATTTAAATTTAGATTTAATCTGGCTACAAAAGATAATGCTTTCATGTCCCTTTTGGTTTAGATTCCAAGCCTTCTGGCACAATAAAGGAATAGCTTTGACAACCTTACCAGAGCGTATTCACTCTCCTGAACTGCATTCTAGCTTCTGCTTCTCTTAGAGTGGTGTCCTTTGTCCTGTGTCTCATAGGGATGTTAAGATCTATAGGCCTAGGAGCCCTGTGAAAGAAGTGAGAGGGAGGGAGGAAGAGAGGGAGGGAAGGGGGAAAATATGTGTTTATAATGAGATATGCTTTTTATATAAGGTGTTATAAAAATATATGGTATTTACATTTTAAAAATTTATTAATCCAAGACACATTGCTGTTAATCCTCCACAACAAACTTTGCCTCACACTTATAGTATTATTCTTATCATTTTCTGAAGTGGTTTTGGAAGTGCTTTTTTAAGTCTTAACATAATTCTAAATTTTTAGGGTTTAAAATCTTTAGTTGAGAAATATAGAATGTAATCTTATAAATAATTACATGTAGAAGTAGGGGGAGGGAGTAAGCAAAAGAGAGAGGAAGGAGTCTTATCTGAGTTCTACATTAAAGATATCTCAGCTGTGTTTTAAAGTACTCGAAATTAATACAGCTGAAGAGGGTAAAAATAAATTAGATAAAGAATATTGCAGAGCTTCCTGCTACCCTGCGCCGGCAGGACCAGTCCCAGCCCAGGCGCAGCGTGGGCCGGACCCTCTCCCACCACCTCGGGCCAACCCCCACCACTCCGCCGTACCTCCCCCACCCCTCCTGCCGAGTAGAAATTTCTGCCGACTTTCGGGAACCCCCAGACCCAGTCCTAGCCCAGGTCCGGTGAGTGTGTGGAGAGCTTCCTGCTAGCCTGCGCTGGCGGGACCAGTCCC